TGACCAGGAACATTTATAAATTTATTACAAACCATTTAACTTCAGTGGATTCACATCGGACATTAGTACTTTTACGAAGATATTATACAACTTCAGTGGTAAAAAAAACTCGACCTGTAATCGTCGTGTGATCAGCGAGGCCCACAGAGCTAGCTAGCTTCCTAGTGAATTGTACCTACGTCAACTCTAAATTAACTCGCTCATAAGATACTAAGGAAGTTCCAGACTATTGCCTGTACATTTGTGGAACGTTTGTATATAATTAATTGTTTGTAGTGGCTGTTTGTAATAACTGTTATTGTAAATTGTATTATTGGTTGTATATTAAAATATATTTGTATAAAAGAAAGAAAACTCCGTGTATCAATCCTGTTGGCAAATATCATAAATTGGAGATATATCGATATTTACTTAACTACTAAATCTAAATTACAATTTAACTCAGCTTTAGGCTATTTGAAATTGTAATGGGAACATTTTTCACTACTCAATTATGGATGGCTAGCGCAGATGGCCCTCGTGTAACTTTGAGCTAAATTCAAACAGAATAAATCTAGTTTTGGAGAATGAAATTGCCCTGAAAGGGGTCGGAGCAAGTGCGGTTTACTCCGACCCTCATGTTGTATCAATACCAACATTCACCGTTAGTAAATCACAGTCCGGAAAGGAGGAAGAGGTCACCATGAACCTGACCCTCCCTGGTCCATCATACGACCAAAATACCGATATTGGAGAGAGACAAAATGAAATATTTGTACTTCTCTTTTTTAAAACCAGTATAAAAAAGAAAGCTTTTGGTTCAGATCCCTGCTTACAAGTGTATCATTCGTTTCTCAGATTCATTTTTCATTTTAACGTGTCTGTTTCGATTTTTTGCCTCATTCTTTTATCACTACCAGAAATAAAATGAAAATTGTACACTTTTAAAACTTTATTAACCCACTTTTAACCTTTCCGGACCAAAGTGTCGGCATAGATAAATAAATATAAAGACCGATAGAACAAAAAAAACGTTTAATGTTACTTGTTTATTATTCACAATCTGACTTCGGTCCGTGAATACATGTACTGAATTAATGATTCTGATGCTTTTTGACGCTGTTAAATTTATATTTTGACTGAAAGAAAATATAAAATTTTGTTATATTTTATGGATATCTCTAGGCTTTTACCTCCAATCACCATCATGCAGATGGTGAAAACCTTTTCGTTATCCGTTTCGGAAGCCACGTTGCCAAACCCCACGCTGGTCATGCAGGTCATGGTGTAGTAGAGAGATGTCACGTACATGGTCTCTCTTGGAGGACCGCCAGTTAGTTTCATATTGTACGTCGTATTAGAAGAGTCGAAATAGAAAGGTTGTTGGGTGGTATTAGACAGTCTCCACAGCCAGCCGTAGACGAAGCCGTTCTCGGCATCGCTGAGACCAATACAGTACCAGATGCACGCCAACCAATGCGCTACCAACATGTAGAAACATAGAAGTAGGATCAACATGGCGGCTCCGTACTCCAGATAGCGGTCTAACTTGCGGACTACACGCCCCAGTCTCAACAACCGGACAACCTTCAGGGCGCTGAACAGGCTACCGATTCCCTGCTTTAAGAGGAAATTTAACAATGTTAATACCGGTAACCTGGAGGATATCGTTAATATCAACAACCTGATGGAAAACTTGATATCATTAATGTAAAAAACATGAAGGAAAAACTTGATATAGTTAATATTAACAACCTGAAGGAAAAACTTGATAATGTTATATCAACAACCTGAAGGAAAAAACATGATAATTGTTAATATCAAAAACCAGAAGGAAAATCTTGATAATGTTAATATCAAAAACCAGAAGAAAAAATTTGATCATGTTAATATAAAAAATCTGAAGGAAAAATTTGATCTTCTCAATATCACCAGCCTGAGGGAGAAACCTAATAATTTTAATACCAACAACACGAAGTTTCTCTGCCAGGTTGTTGTTATTAACGAGATCAAGTTTCTCTGCCAGGTTGTTGTTATTATTAACAATATCAAGTTTTTTTTTTTTTTGATTACATCAATGACATAGATGAAGGAATGATCAATAAATAACATAAATTTTTCAGATGACATTAAGGTCTTGGGTGTTGCTAGCTGTGAAGAGGATGCTACTGTTTTGCAAGAGGATTTAGATCAAGCTTCTCCTTCAAGTTATTAATGTTATCACGTCTTTCCTTCCCGTTGCTGATATTAACGTTATTAACTTTCTCTTTCAGGTTGTCGATGTTAACGAGATCAAGAGCAAAGGTCCTAAGACTGAGCCATGAGGTACCCCACTTGTGAGATTAATCCTTTTTGACTGAACTCCATTTATAACAACCCTCAGCTTTCTTACATCCAACCAGTCTTCTATCCAGTTAGCTAACTTACATCCCACATCTATAGAGATAATGCTCTCTAAAAATCCAGATACACCAAATCTACATCACTACCCTCGTCTACATAAGTAGTAACCATTTCAAAGAATGTCAAAAAAATTGTAAAGCAAGATTTTCCCTTAGTGAAACCAAGTTGACTATGCAATAAAATTCTAAACTTTGTTAAATGACTTTGCAAAGCATCTTTTATCAAACTTTCAAAACTTTTCCCACAAGTAATGTAAGACTAATGGGTCTATAATTACTGGGATAATTTTCATCACCTCCTTTGAAAAGAAGAGTAACAATAGCTAACTTCCAATCATTTGATTCCTGCCCATTATCCATGACTTTAACATGCTACACATTTAATTAATTTACAATGTTATCAGAAATGCAAAACATAGTCACAAAGGGTTAAGTTCAGTACATTGTTTTTAAAAAATTGTTCCTTATATCTAATCTAAGTAGAAATCGTGAAATATAATTGTTTTAAGTTGCTATAAAAAATGGAGGTTTTCGTATTCTGAGTTCTTCATGCAGGTTCATAGGTATATATAGTATGATTTTATTTTTTACAATGTTGCCCACTTGAGCTACTATAGTGTGGTGTTGGCATTAAAATGTCAAAAGAGAGAGAGAATTAATACTCTTTGACAAAATAAACCCTTTATTTGATGTTGGTTGGAAGTTTAAAAAACTGACATATAATACGTCTGCTGCTCGCCAAGTACTGTGAAGAAGACGTTGTACAGATACAAGAAAACCCAGTTCCATAAAATCAGACAAAGCAGGGAACAAAGAAGAAATATTAACTGGAAGGGATACTACATAGTTAAAAATCCATTCCGTGAAATATCGGAAGAAAGCTGTAAGATCCTTGATGATGACATTAACACGTCACTCACACACAGTCTCAATAACTCTTCAGAAGTGTGGTCTTTGTGGAAGATTAATAGCAATAAAGCCATTACTGTCCAAAGATATTAGTTTTTGCAAAAGAACATGCATCCTGATTTTTAGGACAGACTAGTCTAAATTGAAACTGTTTGGTTCCAGCTGGCGTGTATATTTTCGCCGAAGAGCTAATGATGGGATGCAAAAGGAAGGTCTCCTGTCAAAAGTGAAGCTTGCAGGAGGCTCTGTGATAGTTTGGGGTACAATATCTGTGAATGATACTGGTCAGCTTCACAAAATTGATAAAATCGTGGATCAGAATTAATCCCACACTATTTTAGCCTACTATACTACACCCTTTGAAAAGAAGCTAACTGGGCAGAATTTCATATTTAAAAAGATAATGACCCCAAAAACATTTTCAATAAATGTTGAGCTTATATAGCAAATAAAGAAAACTCAGGAGATTCCCAGAGAATAGAATGCCAACCACAAAGTCCAAATAGTAACCCCATAAAAAATATCATGGATTTGTAGGACTACATGCTCGACAAAAACACCAGCTCTGGCCACAGCTTCAAGAAAAATGAAATCAAGTTACACCCGTGACTTTAAGAAAATACAAAGACTCAATGCCACAAAGCTTCCAAGCTGTTATTGATCCCAAAGGCGGCCACACAAAGTATTAGCATTAAAGAAATTGAAAGACGGTATTTCTCAGGTAATCAAGTTGCAATGATGACAAGTTTATTTCTATAGCAAATCAACGACAATTTTATGTGTAAAGCTCAAAAATGACAATCACCGAGGTGTTTTAATAGACTTGCACACAGAGTCGGTTTAATAGATTTGCACACAGAGTCGGTTTAATAGATTTGCACTCAGAGTCGGTTTAATAGATTTGCACACAGAGTCGGTTTAATAGATTTGCACACAGAGCGGTTTAATAGATTTGCACACAGAGTCGGTTTAATAGATTTGCACACAGAGTCGGTTTAATAGATTTGCACTCAGAGTCGGTTTAATAGATTTGCACACAGAGTCGGTTTAATAGATTTGCACACAGAGTTGGTTTAATAGATTTGCACACAAAGTCGGTTATGAACGATAATTAAGTAAAATGTATAAAATGATTTACTTTATAAGAGATAAATAATACGCATAAAAATCTTCTAGAGGATTACAAGTAAACTTACGTCATCATCATGGTCGAAAGCGTTGAAAACGTCATAAGGAAGGCAGGATAACAAATCTATGATGAACCAGCTCTTCAGATAATTCATCCGGATGACTTTGGGATCAGAAACCACCTCGCCACCCGGACCGACGAACGTTGTGTGGAAGTTGAGGACGATGTCAATGAAGAAGATGACATCAACAATGCTGTCAAGCACCAGGAAACTGACATCCTCGCTGGTTTTATTCTTGAAGGCCACGTTGTAGGGCACCAAGATGGCGGTGTAGAAGGTGAGGCACAGAATGATCCAATCCCATAGGGCTTTAAAGGCACAGTAATGAAGAAGAATGTGAGGCGGGGTCTTGGGAGCTTCTTGTTGGTATTGAGGCATCACGTCGGCACTCAAGCTCATCATCTGGAGAGGAGTTAGAGAGGACTTTAATCATGTAAACTATCAAAGCCATGACAGCTAATACCCATAATACCATCAATTTCGACTGTCATCATTATTAAGCCCTAACAACTAAACTAAACCATTGTTATGGTGTGAATGCCTTTTCTAACCTGACGAAACATGATTATAATTAATTATACTTGTCAGAAGACATTAGTATTAGGCCTATTTTATTTTAAAACTGCATTATTTATATAGTCTCTCAGGGATTTTCAAGAATTAGTAGAGTGTATTATAATAGCATTTCAAACACACAATGTTCACCATATCCATTGCCGACGCATAGCCAGGTGATTAGGGAGCTCGACTCGCAATCTGTGAGTCGCGGGTTCGAATCCTTTAAGCCGTGGGAGCTTTATTATGTAACGGTCAATCACACTATTAGTTGGTGAAAGAGTAGCCCAAGAGTCTTACACTGCTAAATTAGGGATGGTTAGCGCAGACAGCCCTCGTGTAGCTTTGCGCGAAATTCATAATAAACCATAAAACCATTACCGACGACACGCATCTCTTAATACAGAGATCATCAGGCTGGCTGGGACACAATAAACACAGCAGTGGTCGGACCACTATTTATATAAGTCATTTGTTACAGCAACAATTGTTAGGGTATGAACGCCTTTTCCAAGCTGATATGATTAATTATATTTGTCACAAGACACTAGAATTAAGCCTATTATATATTCAACACTGCATTCTTTATCTAGTTCCCATTGGTTGATAAAACTTGTACGTGTGTGTTCGTTTACAACTGGTGAACCGCTAGACCAATTGTCATCAAACCTTGATAAAACTTGTACGTGTGTGTTCGTTTACAACTGGTGAACCGCTAGACCAATTGTCATCAAACCTAAGATATACCGTTACAGCCCTCCCTGGGAATAACATAGTGTCAGTGTTCGGATCTAATCCCCATGGGTTATTCACGGGGGGTACCCTGTCTTCCCTGTAAATACTCATAGTACAATAACCTTCCCTGTTGTTGTTATCAAGCTGTGAAAGCTAATACCCATAATGTCATAACCTTCGACTGTTATTAACACCTGACAACTAATACTCGTAATATGCATCAAGGTGAACTTGAATGATGGAAAGTATCAGAAGATAGTGATACACTTTATGTAAGTTGTCATATGTTTTTGAATGAAGTAACAGTTCTCAAGCAACTGATAAGCACATATTAAACCCCATTTGCATCTCTGGAAGGTTTTGCACGAAGTAACGTTCCCGTGTTCTACTCTGTGGTCAGCCTCAGATTGCATCAGTGATATCACCTCCCTCAACTAACACCTCTTTCAAGGCAGTGTACTAGTCTTATAAACTTTGATTTAGTTTCGGATACACTTGCAAAACGTTCCAGTTCAATCTTACTTTTGTAAGATTTAGGTGTGGCATGTGGTGATCTGTCTTATTCAGTGATCCAGCAGGTAGATCCCTTTATGCCAGCAAAATTCTTTGGGTCAAAACACTGCATATCATAATACAGCTGACCATGTTCTACAAATAATCTTGTCAGTACGTATCAATCCTGTGTAGTCATAGGTGATGTAGTTGTATAACATTCTGCAAATCTAGTTTCATTATAGTTAGCTTTTCTTTTTCTCTTCCTTCGGACAGACAATTCAGCTAACACATTGACTTCATTACATTCCTCAACATCTAACAGATCTGACCAATTAGTTTTGTGCAAAATTCGTTCATTTGTCTAACATATTCGTCTACTTTAGATACAATACTTTGCATGTCGTCCCTCAGTGTTCTCAGTTGAACTGTACCCTCTTGCATTAGCCTCCAAGCCTGAACTAAAACAATTTCACTTGTTTGAAGATATTCTGATACAGGTGTGATACGATGGAAAATGGACATGGATGTGTGCGGTCAAAATTGTTTTATACTTCATGTGACTTTCAATGCTGCAACACAACCAGACACTTGATCAGATCTGAGAAAATAGCTTTGGAGTGGTCTGTGGATGTCCAGAACACAGCTGATGATGCATCTGGTTTTTACATGTTTCTCCTATCAGCTTCATTTTCTTCAATTTGTCTGTCCCTAACTTGCTCTCAGTTTCCTTTTTCCAGAAATCCATTCGCTTGTAGAAACTTTTGAAGAATTCTGCCACTTTTTGCAAGAGATTTAATAATGATGTTGCTGCAACACATACCTTCGTCGAGTCTATCAGAACTAACTTCAGTACGAGTACCATAAGTACACGTTTGTAGCCACAGCAGAAGAGAGCTTTAGCTGAAAGCTACTGTACTGTCCATGGCAATCTGATGATCCATCTGTGCTGTTTGAAACGCTTGTTAATATCAATGTTGTAATATCCAAATACGCTTTTTACTAGACCGTATAGTCCTTGTCCAATACAACTGTGGCCGTTGGAGGGAACAAGAGCTAGCAGCCTTTCAATTATTTTCCCACGAAGTACTTACTGGACTATCACTGTACACTGATGATGTCTTGTGTGGAATTAACCTGTACTGAGAACATACCATAATTTCTAACTTCATCTGATATAACGTTCTGGATCATATTCTTCATTATAACAAACAGTTTGTTGACTATTGTTTTACTGATGAAAGTAACCACCTCTTCCAGCAACTAGACTTTTTGTGTTCCTTGAAATTAGTAGTTACTTTGTTCAAATGCTATAAAAGTGCATGTTATAATGACCCAGAAGTTTTATCTGTTCCAATAAAATACCTTGATTTATTTCATCTTTTTGTTGATGTTCTCTAATTGGAAGATTAAGCTTTCCAATAACCCCGATAACAGCAATAATTCTACCAACAATTTTACGATTCTCCTGAGCTTCAAGTTATCGTTTATTAAGCAGCATGTACATAGGACAAGATGTTTCCACTTTTCATGTTCATCACATGCACTTTACAATTTATCATGTTTTTATTAAATTCTTCATGCTCCCTTACATTTGATGAACATGGCACTAATCACTACATCCATGTACAAGTGAAGACCTGGTATTACTGCTGGAAAAGCACAGACAAATAGCACAGAAAAGCTTCTGTTGCTGATTTGAAAAAGAAGCCATTGTATTTTAAAGTTTATTTACCATCAACTGTTTTTTGGTAGTACACATCCGGGTCGAATGGATTATTTTCAAGTGTTTGAACTGGATGTTGGGCAAAAGTTCTGCTGTGCATATCGTGACCTGATGGTTTAGAATACATGTTCACATCATCAGAGATTTTACTTTCTTGAGAGTCGTCTATTTCTGTCTGCCCCCTCCCCCCCACAGTGCCACAGCGGTATGTTTGCGGACTTACAACACTAGAAACTGGGTTTCGATACCCTTGGTGGGCAGAGCGCAGACAGCTCATTGGGTAGCTTTGTGCTTAACTACAAACAAACAAACTTCAGTCTGTGTCGTATTTCTCACTGCTGTGTGGGGTTTCCGTATGTGTGTCGCATAGTTTCAAGAGTTTTTTCATGGTCAGTTGTTTGTGTAACCTGTTCAATGTGGGAAATGATTTTATAGTTCTCTCTATCAAACATATGAATAGATGTGATAGTGTATCTTGTATCTTGTAAAAATCAAACTTGTGATATTATCATGTAAGAATAATTTACACATCATTCTTATAATAGTAATCCGGCTTATTTTACTTAGCAAATTTTACTGAATGCCACCATCAAACTTTGTCGATTTTAGGTAAAATTCGTTGTCGCCACGTTCGTACAAATACGCCATGACAGTGTCATTATCAATCAGACCTGTACTGATCAGCTAGACTGGTTAACAGCTGCTCATGACACTTGACATAGGGCCTAAAGTGTTTAAGAACTACTGATCGAATACAGGCTCGCCATTGAAATTAATTTGCTTTATAAACGTCTGAACGATATTGATTTTGAAAAGATACAATATATGAATTATATAGACACGAGACTCTGTTTTGCGTTTATTGACTAGTGGTTTACAGCATGCGACGCGTTTAGCCTTTTATACACTTCCCCCAGGAGGCTATGAATGTGTTTTATATTTACATGTGGCAAGGCCTGCAAGAAGAGGGTATAAATATTGGCTGTATCTTATAGATCTAAATGTATTCAGTATTTATTATAGTGTTCTACATCAATTTGGCCATTTGAGATAAATAAAAGACACTGGTTTTAATTTATGAACATTTAATAAAGTGATAAACTATAAAATTTTAGGGGGGCACCACAGCTGAGTTCTAGGGGAACCCATCGGGATTTTGACCAGTTGTCTGACGGACCAGTCCGCCACTGTGTTTTTTAAACCGAGGTATGCTTACTTCCAAGGGGACGACGTCGATCATTAGTGGGTACGAAAAATAAAAACAAGAAAAGAAAAATATCAATAACAGCAAAGATTATTGCACATGATCAGAGTGAGGGGTACGAGAATTTTTTCCAAATCTGAAAAGGGGTAACTGTCCTTAAAAAGCTTAGAAACCACTTGTCTTGATCATTAGTTCCTAACATTTTTGACTGAAGTTTCCCTGAATCGATCTTCGTCCATTCGAATATATATTTATAATAAGCCTAACAACGCTACTTGTACACCAAAAAACAAGCCTAACAACACTATTTGTACACCAAAAACTAAGCCTAACAACACTGATTTTACACGAAAAATTAAGCCTAACAACGCTACTTATACACTAAAAACTAAGACTAACAAATGTACTTGTACACTAAATATAGTTTTGGACACTAGACAAATGATAAATATTTGAGTAGCTAGTTTATTTTCTACAAATATTTAGCCAGTTCTTTGCTTACTACTATTTTGCTTAAAGTATTGGTATAAATACGCATATTAATACTATTAATTGACTTGCACATCCTATAGCAATGTTATTTGAATCATCAAATAACAATAAAATCAGCAGCTAACCTTTCATAATTTAGTTAAGGTGTAATATTCCAGAAGCATCCCAAGAGCTAAGTTTACATATATATATTTAACACTTGGTTTTTCTTGTTTCTTTTATCTTAAGCACAAAGCTACGATGAGTCGTTTGTATTCTGCTCCCAGCAGGTGTCGAAACCTTAATTTTTAGATTTATAAACCCTCAGACTTACTGCTAAGCCACCGGAGGGCTTTACACTTGGTACTTGTATAATACTGTTTTTGGCATTTATGGCGCTTGTGAAACGTCATAACGCTCTTTATGGGGTTTACTTAACGTCATTTATTGGATTATGACCCTTGTTTAAGGCCATGTCTTCCATTTATGTGTTAGAGAAATATATATATATAAATTAATTACTTATCAGCGAAAATATAAATGAAACCGCTGATAATGATCAGAAAATTAATTAAAATTATAAGACTATGCGTTTATCGACTATATTTAACTTTGTGTAGTGTAGCCATAGAAACGGGTTTCCCTATAGGTTAATGACCGATATTTTTAGAAATACTATAGACTAATATATCTTAGTAACAGGAAATTAATACTACATATAAATTATATGGGAGCTAGTTTCATTATTTTGGTTGTTTGTAGCTTGTGGCTTCCTTGAGTAATGAAAGTGATACATATATTAATGTTTTATCGATTTGAAAGGTAAGTTTGTAAGATTTTTGACCTAGATCTTATATTCACTCATTACGAAACAATTTCTAGTTTCTCAAAAATCAACCAAACAAACAATCCAGTTTCACTTGACCTCGTTTAGAAGGTTTTGTTTGTTATTCACACGACTATATATCGAATTCTCCAATTCCGTCTTGCTTTATGAAGTCACGAAAAATGTATAATAAATTCGGTTCAAAGAACCTTTGTCGCGGTCCAACTGCATCTGCAACTTTTACACTTTTTAATATACACTGAGTGGTCACAAGTAAATAGGCACCTAATTTTTCGTCATTTAACTGATTTATGCTAACTAATTTGTG